GGAGAGAGGGGGCCGAAAGTTTCCTGGAGCCCGGGAAGCCGCGGCGGTCACGGGGATGCCTCCGCTCCCCCTTCCCCGCACAGGTGACACATCTGTCACTGCATCCTGTCAGGGCGAAAGGTGCGCCTTCCTCTGTGCGAGGTGAGCGGCGCTTTGTTTTGGAGCGTGACTCATTTCACCCTCCTGCTCCCCTTGAGGTGGTCCCAGTGGGGTTTAGGGAACTGGCCCCTAAGGAAGTGTGATCGGGTGATAGGTAATAGGAGATTTTGCCCCAGGCTTTTAACGAGTTCAGTCTGGTGAGATAAAGAGGCTCTGCGGGCTCTCGGGACCGAGTGCTTTTATTTGCGATTATCACGAAATACTACACTTGGCCTTGAATTTCTTTCAGAGATCTGTTGACATGCAGGCGCTATAAATTTAAAGCTCTTAAGTACAAGGGACTAACAAGTTTAAGCGCTTACGTTCTAGTGTTTGAGATCACTAGAGTTATTCTAAGCTTTATACTTGTTAAATTACTTTTGCGTTGTGTAAGTCCAGGTGGTTCATTTTGGAAAATGCCTGTCTGGACCAGTGGATTCAGTTTGGGTTTATATTTAGGGAGCCCAGTGTCCTATCCGAAATACTTTTTCAGTTCTGAATGGATAATACATTTTAACGAGTCGTTCGGTATTATCATTAAATATTGTAACTGTTTTAAGATTTTTGACCCTGTGTCTTTGGCATATTGAAATATTCATGTATTGTGTAGAAGCTTAAATAGGAGGTTTCAGGTGTACACGTAGTACACCTTGTTTCTATTTTGATCAGATCCTAAAGTTAGCACTGTTGGACAGTTCTTTTAGTTTTTGTTATTTCTAATGAGATTGATGATTAGCATTCCACTTGTGGTGAGTTAATATAAGGGAGGCGTCAAATTCATGCTTACTTAATTAAACATTGTGCTTTTGGTCTTCTGAATCGTTATACATCTTAATCCAATTACTCCATAATATTTCTGAGTTCCTAACATAATCCTTTTAGGTTTGGTGAGGTTTTTTTTCTCTTGCTACTGTTCTCAAAAGGCTATTAAGTCATTTACTGAGTGTACATTTATTCGGTATTAATAGCCAGTTTGCACCAGGCGCATTGCTTTCTGATGTGAAGATTCTGAATGTTTTCTCTGTCTTACATAATGATTCCCTATCTTACTGCTTTATATCTGTAGAATTGTACAGTAAGGCAGAAGCTACTTGAAGTTGCCTGTTCTTCAGCTATTGACCATGGTGCACCCCGCAATTTTTGCTGAATGACCAAGGAACAACCTACTGGTCGATTAGTAGTCAACGAACTCTGCTCAGTTTCTGGATTTTGCAAACAATGCTAGTTTTGTAGAAAACAATGAGTACTGCTTTATTTTCCCTTCTCTACTAACTGTGAATCATCTGCTTCAAGTTTGCGTTTTAGAAATTTTTCTGGTGGATGATGAGATTATACTGAATTCATTAGTACTGTTAACTGTCAAAGGAAATGAACACTCATTTTTGATATATTGCTGAATACTAGAGCAACTGATCGGATATAGTGGTTAAAAACACAGTTAAAATACAGCTTGAAAAAGTCACTCATCATTAGTCAACTTAACTCCCCTCAGCACATAGGCACCAGAATAATTTGACCTGATATGATGCCTTCTCAAAATTTGGACAGGCATACGGTCATATCAGGTTGGTAGTTGCTGATTACCCATTTGTTCATAGCACTGTATTGTATGTGTAGGATGAATGAAAAAGGAATAAAAGTCAGTATAAGAATGTGGAAATTGTTCCACTTGTATCATTCAAATGACATGGCATACCTGAAATGGACTTGGAAGACAATAATAAATCTCAGGTCTGCCACTTACTAGCTATGTAGGCTTGCAGACAAGTCAGTGTCAATTCTTTCAGACTCACTTCTTTTTATCTACCAAATGTGAGACTTGAACAAGACACTGTTGGAAAAATGCCAAGCAGGGTTGCTTGACACATATTAGGTACTCAGGAAGTGTTTGCTGAATGTAAATCTAGAAATAAGTCCATAACAGTATCTTATTGTAAAATGTACAAATTAATTTAGTATAATTTGGAAAATAAATTACTCATTTGACTGTTAGCCTATGTCACATTGCCTGGATACTGTATTATCTTTCGCTGTATTTGTCCTGCCTCCTCAAACAGAGTATAAATGCCCTATAATTCTTGCTGCTGCTTAGCAGCCCATGCATATCTCTTTAGTAACATTTAATACAGTACTATAATAATCTATTTGTCTGTGTTAGACTGTAAGGTCTTTGAGTGCAGACACCATGTCCTTTGTAGCCTCTGGCAAATAGTAGGCACTCAAGTATTTGTTGCAGGAATTTATTGAATAGATGAAAACAGGAGCAAGTCTGCGAGTTAATTGTGTGTTCAGACTTTAGGTGGTTGATAAATTGATGACAGTGACTATAAAAGCTAAAGAATGCAGGGTATTAGGATCAAGCAGATCAGTTTAAACCTAAGTTTTTTGTGCAGTTTGTATTTTTTAGCCTAGGTGGGATTAATGGTGATGAACAGTGACTTAAGATAATGTTATGCTCTTTGACAGTAGGGGAAGAGGCCACAGAAATCTATAACTAGGATATATGTATTGTCATAAGTGTAATATATGTCACTGCTGAGACAAAATACCTGACACCCAAAGTTAAAAGGGGAAAGGTTTATTTAGCTCACAGTTTTGTAGACGTTTTAGTCCATAGTCAGCTGGCTTCAAGGCAGGCTGGCATGGCAGAGGGGCAATAGTTCATGGTGGTGAAAGACAGCAAGCAACCAGGGAAAAAGATAAAGACTGTTACTGTCCCTAATATTGTATGCAGGCTACCTGCCCTACAGGTGGGTGTAGCACTCATACTCTTAATTCCAGCCAGAACTATGCCAGACCAATCAGTGGTCTGATTTACTAATCATACACCCTTAATCCCAGCATCACACACTCTAGATTCAGCCACCTCTGAAAAGCCCTATGACTACATGAGGCTTTGAGGGGACATCTAGACACAAACCATAACAGGGTGTATGTAAAAGAGAGATCAGGTCTTAACTTTTAAATAAATTAATGTGTTGAGCAGCAATGATAAAATGTGCTTTTATTGAAAGGATGTTGGGTTATCTTATCAATTTGTTCAATACATATTTTATTAGTTCTTGTGTACTGGCTGTTGCTTTAGATGCTGAGGTTGCAAGACATATATGGTGTCTCCACTGGAAGGACAGAGCTGCGTCAGGAATCACTGGAATTAGAGACTGACCTTGTCTGTACTCTGTCTTGAACCTCTGCCTATCTCTTGTGATGGCTTCATTCTTCTCCACTGCTCTCCAGCTTTTTACTCATGGGAAAGATCATGCTGCTCACAGCTTCCAAGTTTTACAACTTGCAGCTTCAGGTCGACACTCAGGGAAGACACTGCTCAGTTACAGATATCTCAGTCTCAGTTGTAAAAATCTCAGGGAAGTACTTAATTGGCGTGGCTTTGGTTAGGAGTCCATTTGTGGTTCACTCATTTAAGGCCAGGGTGGGACCATATTCTGCTAACATGACAGCCACTACAGATGGGGATGAACTAAACTCTTGGAGGAAGAAACGTTGCTAGGAAGTTTCAGATTCCTGTCTTCAGGAGTGAGAGTTTAACACTAAGGAAAGGTTGACAAAGATTCTCTATTGTGATGTAACAGATTGCTGTGAACCCTAATGGCGTAAGGCACCATGATTTCTATGGATCAGGAGTTTGGGAATTGCTTAGCTTGATGGTTCTGACTCTGGTCAGTTGTGAGATTGTAGTCAAAGACATTGGCCAGGACTTCCGGCACTTGAAGACTTGCCCGGAGCTGGTGGTTCTCCTTCCATGATGGCTCACTCACATGATTTTGGCAGAATGTTGAGTTCCTGCCATGTGTACCTATTCATAAAGCTGCCTGAGTGTCCTCATGGCACAGCAGCTAGCTTCTCCCAGAATAAGGGACCCAAGAGAGACAGCAAGGTGGAAGCGAGCTTCATATGTCTTTTTTATTAAACAGCTTTATTGAAATATATTTTAAGTACTGTACAGTCTTCTTGTTTTAAGTGTACAATTAAATAATTTTTAGTATAGTTATAGAGATATACACCTGTCACTACAGTGTCATTTTAGAACATTTCCAACACAATGAAAAGAAACCACACAACAATTTACATCAGTCACTCTACATTTGCACTACACTTCTCCAGCCCTAGGCAACTACTTATCTATTTTCTGTATTTTGTCTACTGTGGAATTTTATCATAATATGATTATGTAATTGTGGTCTTTTGCAATTGACTTCCTTCATAAACATTGTGTTTTCAAGGTTCGTCCATGTTGTAGCATGTATTAACACTTCATTTTCTTTTTTTTCAGTTGTTTTTTGTGTGTGTGCGTGTCTTTTTGAGATAGGGTCTCGCTGTGCAGTTTAGGTTGGCCTTCAGTGCACTTTGTAGCCCAGGCTGGTCTCAAACTTACAACTCTCCTCCTGCCTCAACCTCCCAAGTGCTGGGATTGCAGGCATGTGCCACCACCACGCCTGGCGACACTTCACTTTCTGTGGCTGACCAATTACTTTTTTTTTCTTTTTTTGAGACAGGTTCTTGCTATGTAGTTCAGGCTGGACTCAGACTTACTGTGTATCCCAGGCTGGTCTCGAGCACATAGCAATCCTCCTGCCTGGGGCTTCCAGGTGCTGCGATTTCAGACATATGCCACCATGACCCGCTCATTAATTGTATTTCATTGT